CTAAAGGCAATAATGAAGCTACAAGCTGGACAGTTACCAAATTGTTAACATGCATTAGATGGTTTTTTTTTGGGGAGCGATACCACATAGTTTTTTGCAGATTCTGCTACAATAGGAGAAAGAAGGACCGACGTCTCAGAGTTACAATGAAGAAAAAGTTACAGAATGCCGGCTTCTTTTTTCGCAACGGAAATTTGGGCTCTGGCAATAAGAGTAACTGTTCAGCGTTGTCCGGTAAGAGGAATAAAAAGGCATCACCTTTTTTTGCTTGCGGGAAAAAAATGGGAATGTTTTTTTTAAATAGCTAATTAATCTTCGTTTAATAGTCATTTGTAATAATATCTATTTATTTTATTTGGTTGTTAGTAGTGTATGAACGAAGCCCGTTGTACATTTGCCTCAAATAGGGACTAAATGAATTACAAGGCTTTTGCTGATAATGTTTTTGCTTTACCAGGACATTTTCCAATTTTATATGTATAAAACCGCTTTAATTTTAATTGTATGGGACTTGCTTTTGTAGATGGCGGATAGTCTGGTCACATAATTCTGTTGGAACCAGGTAAAAAAATGTTACGAGGAGAGGTTTGGGTTTATTTTGGCTTTAATGAATAGAGAGGATTGGGCCTATAAATGTATCTGGCAGAGGGGGCGTTAGCTGTTCCGATTGATCTAGGGGATTGGTGTGTAAATTTTAACTTTAGTGAGGAGGGGAGTTCCGAGTTACTTTTTGGGACGGTTTGTTATGTGTCGTATTGGGATTTTTTTGCGCTAATAAAATTGGGTGATTTAATGAAGGTTAGGAGGGGCATTTATTGATAAAACTTGATGGGTCAGGGGCATTTATTGCAGTGAAATGCTGTCATTGTGGAGCCACATCAGCAATCTGGAGAGGTTTGCGCAAAAAAAAAAAAAAAAAAAAAAAAAAAACAAACAAACAAACAAACAAAAAAACAGCTAAGGAGCCTAATATGTCTGAAAATATGCATGGCTGAGGTTCATCTGTCAGGAAAATGCATGGATTCTTGCCGGTAATGGGAAACACCGTGCTGTAGTTGCGTGAAGCAAATGCCGAGTATCTGTCAGGCTATGGAACTCTTCTTGAACTGTGAGGCCCTTATTCTGCTGCGTTTTTAACATGTACCCTTAACTGAGAAAACTTAGCGGCTGACATTGGTAGGCAAACATAAATGGATTGTAAAAGGCTATTTGCTGGCACGGGAGTTATTTTTTAAAAGGGTCAGCTTTTTGCAAAAAAAGACAAAAAAAGGATATCAGCGCCCATACTGGTCCGGCAAATGATTTTAATAGAAATTATCACAAGGGTCTAAAAAACGAATTGGCATTTCTCTTCGGCAAAAGGAGCTTGACCTTCTTTTCCGACTTTGCATTGAAATGGCAATTTAATTTTATTTTATGCTGAGGACGAAGAGCATGATGTTTTAATAATCAATAGAAGGTGGGATGCTTTTCCTGTTCAACAACTCGTTATAAATCCTCTTTGGAAATTTTTTTTTTTTTTAGTTGGATCATTATTATAATTCTCAGGTTATAATCGTTATCTGAGACTTTTTTTTTAAAGTGGTAAATGAAAAGTTTATTGCATTTATGAAGAAATTTATTTGCTTTTGGGAGCATGAGTTGCCGGCAAACTGAGAAGAAAATTAAGAGTCCCATTTTATCCATCTGTTCAGTCATGTAACATTGTCCGGAAAACCAATTTATCAATATGAGCTTTGAGGTGTCTCGAGATGTCTTTTAGAAAAAACTTTCGATGCAATACCGAATATTCAGCTAATATACAAATTGCTTGCACTTTTTCCAATAATAAAACGCAATAACCATTATAAAAATATAAACGGTCTGTGCGACAGTTCGAGCTCTAATATGGATAGAAATACTTTGTGGCAGTCTGCCGCTGTGCATTTTTTGGGACGCTTTTTGGGTTACAGCTAATATTCTGTGAAGACGCAGCAAATACTCCAGGGAAAAATAACTGAGACGGCGAATAGGCGCGACGTATTGAAATTCAGAAAAATTATAGCGAGCCTTTTAAACTGGTGAAAAGAACAACAACAACAACAAAAAGACAGCGTTATAATATCCTCAGCGATGCGGATGACTGCGTGTAAAAAAAAAAAAAAACTTTGTTGACCGCGGCTTCATAGTTGATACGCTCTCATGCTAATGGAAAACACCAACGATTATTCTGGTTACCAGCCTCTTGCTGCCAATACGCTGGTTAAAAAAAAGCATGGCCTTTGATAGGCAACATCATGTGCACAATCTCAGCATCATTTTAACACAACGTACATGACGTTTGGAAAACTCTTCATATGCATACATATATTGGAAATAATAGCTGCATTTACGGCAGGGGACCTTTTTAAAAACTTTATCTTGTTGATATAATAAACACCATCGTTCAATCGATCAAGTAAAGAATCAGAATGAATTTTACTATGGTGGAAGCAACCACAAGCAACGGAAAGCAAATTTAGAAGCTTATATGGATAAACGTTTTCACTTTAGCTTCATCCGTTGCTTAATTAAAAATAACGCGCATAATTACAAAGAAAAAGTTAAGTTTTAGAAAAACAACAGAAATCTTAAATTTAAAAAAACACTGATTGTACAGCTTATTTTGCAAATTATACAAACAAGCTCTTAACAAATAAAAGAAATTTACACAGATAATCAAACATACAGGAATTTTGAGAAAAGGAGAAAACAAAGAAAACAGAATCAAATAAATACAAGAAAAAGATTCTCCGCGCGATAAATACCTTCAACACACCACCTTTTTAAACACAAAAAGATTACAAACTGAAGTGCCCGCGCCGTTGCCAATGTAAACACCGTGTCCGCATGCGGCGAGGCACTTGTTTTTGCTGGGCGGAGCACATTCTCCACTTTATGTAGTTGATGGTCATTTTTACCTTCGACTGTCGTTGTGTGTGTGTGTGTGTGTGTGGGCTCCTGTGCCCTTGTTGCTGTGTGTCTTCTTTGCTGCTGTGGGCCTTGGTGCCACCTCTCTCTTTCTGTTGTGGGTTTGTGTGCTTGCGCGCAGGTTGTGCAACAGTCGATAATAAGCCGAGTCAAGGAGAGCAACGAGATGGGTGCTTGTGGGTCGAAGGGCTCGACGAGCGACAAGGGGTTGGCGAGCGATAAGGACGGCAAGAACGCCAAGGACCGCAAGGAAGCGTGGGAGCGCATTCGCCAGGCGATTCCTCGTGAGAAGACCGCCGAGGCAAAACAGCGCCGCATCGAGCTCTTCAAGAAGTTCGACAAGAACGAGACTGGGAAGCTGTGCTACGATGAGGTGCACAGCGGCTGCCTCGAGGTGCTGAAGTTGGACGAGTTCACGCCGCGAGTGCGCGACATCACGAAGCGTGCGTTCGACAAGGCGAGGGCCCTGGGCAGCAAGCTGGAGAACAAGGGCTCCGAGGACTTTGTTGAATTTCTGGAGTTCCGTCTGATGCTGTGCTACATCTACGACTTCTTCGAGCTGACGGTGATGTTCGACGAGATTGACGCCTCCGGCAACATGCTGGTCGACGAGGAGGAGCTCAAGCGCGCCGTGCCCAAGCTTGAGGCGTGGGGCGCCAAGGTCGAGGATCCCGCGGCGCTGTTCAAGGAGCTCGATAAGAACGGCACTGGGTCCGTGACGTTCGACGAGTTTGCTGCGTGGGCTTCTGCAGTCAAACTGGACGCCGACGGCGACCCGGACAACGTGCCGGAGAGCGCGTGAAGCTCGCGGCCGCAGAGTGACGTGCCCGCGCCGTTGCCAATGTAAACACCGTGTCCGCATGCGGCGAGGCACTTGTTTTTGCTGTGCGGAGCACATTCTCCACTTTATGTAGTTGATGGTCATTTTTACTTTCTACTGTCGTTGTGTGTGTGTGTGTGTGTGTGTGGGCTCCTGTGCCCTTGTTGCTGTGTGTCTTCTGTGCCGCTGTGGGCCTTGGTGCCACCTCTCTCTTTCTGTTGTGGGTTTGTGTGCTTGCGCGCAGGTTGTGCAACAGTCGATAATAAGCCGAGTCAAGGAGAGCAACGAGATGGGTGCTTGTGGGTCGAAGGGCTCGACGAGCGACAAGGGGTTGGCGAGCGATAAGGACGGCAAGAACGCCAAGGACCGCAAGGAAGCGTGGGAGCGCATTCGCCAGGCGATTCCTCGTGAGAAGACCGCCGAGGCAAAACAGCGCCGCATCGAGCTCTTCAAGAAGTTCGACAAGAACGAGACTGGGAAGCTGTGCTACGATGAGGTGCACAGCGGCTGCCTCGAGGTGCTGAAGTTGGACGAGTTCACGCCGCGAGTGCGCGACATCACGAAGCGTGCGTTCGACAAGGCGAGGGCCCTGGGCAGCAAGCTGGAGAACAAGGGCTCCGAGGACTTTGTTGAATTTCTGGAGTTCCGTCTGATGCTGTGCTACATCTACGACTTCTTCGAGCTGACGGTGATGTTCGACGAGATTGACGCCTCCGGCAACATGCTGGTCGACGAGGAGGAGCTCAAGCGCGCCGTGCCCAAGCTTGAGGCGTGGGGCGCCAAGGTCGAGGATCCCGCGGCGCTGTTCAAGGAGCTCGATAAGAACGGCACTGGGTCCGTGACGTTCGACGAGTTTGCTGCGTGGGCTTCTGCAGTCAAACTGGACGCCGACGGCGACCCGGACAACGTGCCGGAGAGCGCGTGAAGCTCGCGGCCGCAGAGTGACGTGCCCGCGCCGTTGCCAATGTAAACACCGTGTCCGCATGCGGCGAGGCACTTGTTTTTGCTGTGCGGAGCACATTCTCCACTTTATGTAGTTGATGGTCATTTTTACTTTCTACTGTCGTTGTGTGTGTGTGTGTGTGTGTGGGGCTCCTGTGCCCTTGTTGCTGTGTGTCTTCTGTGCCGCTGTGGGCCTTGGTGCCACCTCTCTCTTTCTGTTGTGGGTTTGTGTGCTTGCGCGCAGGTTGTGCAACAGTCGATAATAAGCCGAGTCAAGGAGAGCAACGAGATGGGTGCTTGTGGGTCGAAGGGCTCGACGAGCGACAAGGGGTTGGCGAGCGATAAGGACGGCAAGAACGCCAAGGACCGCAAGGAAGCGTGGGAGCGCATTCGCCAGGCGATTCCTCGTGAGAAGACCGCCGAGGCAAAACAGCGCCGCATCGAGCTCTTCAAGAAGTTCGACAAGAACGAGACTGGGAAGCTGTGCTACGATGAGGTGCACAGCGGCTGCCTCGAGGTGCTGAAGTTGGACGAGTTCACGCCGCGAGTGCGCGACATCACGAAGCGTGCGTTCGACAAGGCGAGGGCCCTGGGCAGCAAGCTGGAGAACAAGGGCTCCGAGGACTTTGTTGAATTTCTGGAGTTCCGTCTGATGCTGTGCTACATCTACGACTTCTTCGAGCTGACGGTGATGTTCGACGAGATTGACGCCTCCGGCAACATGCTGGTCGACGAGGAGGAGCTCAAGCGCGCCGTGCCCAAGCTTGAGGCGTGGGGCGCCAAGGTCGAGGATCCCGCGGCGCTGTTCAAGGAGCTCGATAAGAATGGCACTGGGTCCGTGACGTTCGACGAGTTTGCTGCGTGGGCTTCTGCAGTCAAACTGGACGCCGACGGCGACCCGGACAACGTGCCGGAGAGCGCGTGAAGCTCGCGGCCGCAGAGTGACGTGCCCGCGCCGTTGCCAATGTAAACACCGTGTCCGCATGCGGCGGGGCACTTGTTTTTGCTGGGCGGAGCACATTCTCCACTTTATGTAGTTGATGGTCATTTATACTTTCTACTGTCGTTGTGTGTGTGTGTGTGTGTGTGTGGG